ACATGGCCTCTCTTGGCATTGTGTTTAATAGACCGCTTCTTTGATTCTAACGTGAGCAATCTAGCATTTGCAGTGTGTACTTGCGTGTTTGCTAGCAGTGAGTGTGAGTTTGACTAAATGCTGTTCTGCCACGCTGACACGGAGGGCGTGAGAGGGAGGGAAAGAGAGAGAAGGTGTGAATGTGGTGATAAAGGACAGTATTCTTCTGCTTGTGTGTCTGGGTCTCAGCAGAGAGTTCAGTGGGTTAGAGCAGACCAGCGTGACCATGTCAACAACACGGCCAGTACTGAGTGAGCGGCTCCCTTATCTCCTGCATCCGCCGCTTGCTTGCTTGCTTCTCTTTCTGTGTCCACCTGTTTTTTCCCTCCCTCATTGTTCATCTCTGTTTACTCTTTTGTAAACAGTTTACTCTTCTGTTTCGTAAGCTATTTTATCTTTCATTCAACCCTTTCATTCTCTCCTCTGATCCGCAGCACCTCTCTCTTGCTCTCTCTCTCTCTCTCTCTCTTTCTGTTTCTGTCTTTCTGTCTGTTCTTTCTATTCTTCAAGTCAAGTCTACTGTGACGGTGTCTGCGATAAACCAACAGACAAAAATCTAACTAACAGAATGTGTATGCAAAAAATGTCATTTGTATCTGCAGGATGTTTTGATATTTTGTTCATCAGTTTTTCCGGAGTGTATATATTGTCTACCTGAAAAAAAAAAAAAACACTTCGCAATGGCATGTCTGTGTTTTGTTTTGGTTTGAAGGACTTTAAAGAAAAGTTGTTAGCTTAAGTTCAGTTTTTAAAAGTAACCACAAGACTTGTGTTGGTGTGCAGTGGTTAAAAATGAAGGTCTTCTTGGAATGTTCCTACTTATGAGTTTAGAAATGGTAATTGCAGTACCACATGATGTACGTTCAAGTAATTTCAGTCTGGACAAAATGGACTAACAGGACAATTATCATATTTTTCTCTCTCTTTTTCACTTTTTGACAAAACCAGGACGCTTTTTAGTGCTAATGCAACATAATGAAGAGCAAAGGATGCACATTATGTGTGTAACTGATGCTTTATTTATGTGTTTTATCATACTAGTTTGGCTCTAGAGAATGATGGGAAATGTAGTTTGATGTGACGTCTCCTAATAAACAAGCTAAATGAATAATGTTTCCTGGCTGCATTTAGCACACAAAATGAATACATTCTGATTTTACTGCTAATATTCACAATTGTTGTGATCAGTGGCAATTTGCTTCCCCTGTGATTCTTGAAATTACACGTCATAACAGCTCTAAACGTCTGAGCTTAAAGAAAGTCCTGATTTTTCCACTAGTAATTTTGACTTGATGATTATGTGCTCAACTTGAAAATATGATCATTCTGACATGAACTGAATGCACCATAAATGGCAGTTTACAACAGACTCACAGAAAACCCACAGGAATTACATTGCTAATGCAAAACCAGAAGTTCATCCGCCTAGAAAAGTAGTCCCACTTTAAAAGGGACATTTAGTCAACTTTACAGCTCAAATAACATGTTAAATAATTCATGTACGTTTTTAATGAATACAGCCCTTACATTTATGTTTTAAAACCCTCTGGAACCCTCTGGCCTGGTTTACTTTTATTGTAAGTACACCGCCATTCAAAAATTTGGGGTCAGTAGTTGTTTAAAAAAAAAAAAATTAATAATTGTATTCAGTAAGGATGCATTAAATTGATCAAAAATGATTCTAAAGACTTTGAAAATGTTTTGATTTTGATTTCAAATAAATTCTGCTCTTTTGAACTTTCTCGTCATCAAATATATTAAAACATTAAGCACAACTGTTTTCAACATCGATAATAAAGAAATGTTTCCTGAGCAAATCAGCATATTAGAATGATTTCTGAAGGATCATGTGACACTGACTGGAGTAATGATGCTGAAAATTCAGCTTTGCATCATAGGAAGAAATAAAATTTTGAATTGCATTAATAGATTACTTTATTGCTGTTTTTATTTGATCAAAGAAATGCAGCCTTGGTGAGCATTAGAGACTTTTCAAATACATTTTTAAAAAATCTCACAAACCCCAAACTTTTGACTGGTAGTGTACTGTATGTTACTGTAAATACAAGTTTTGCCTGAGCCACAAGTCCATTGTTTTCTATGCCACAAATACTGAAGTTGTGTTGAACTCAAAAACATCCCTTTAAAGTCATGTGTGTACGGGTATTGGTCAGTCTAATTGTAGTACGTGAAGTGTGTGTTGAGTGTCTGTTCTCTCCGCTGTAAGAGCTACTGATAACCTTCCTAACCTGTGTGACAAGAAGGCTCTTCTCATAGGAATGACACACACACACACACACACACACACACACACAGAAGCCTTTTTCTCACACACTCTGCTTTTGTTTCTTAAAAGCAAGAGTGACTAGCTTTAATAAGCATGCCCTAGGCTAGGTTAGCATGCTATGGTAATGTATGTGATTTGTAAATGGATCCACCCATCATTACGCGAATGTATTTTCGCATTTCTTTTCATATGGAAACATGAAGCCCGTAAAAAAACAACAAAAAAAACAAAGCCCAACTACCTTAAATTGTTTACATGTAAATAGCCGTTGGTGTTGCTGGCTGTTTAGAGATGATGATAAAATGGTAATTAGTGTCTGCGAGTCGTTTAGTCATTTGTTTACATAGAAAGAATTCAAAGGAAATTCCCTGAGATTCCGCAACAGCCAAATTCTCTTAGAAATTGGAAGCTCCAGACACGTCCTCTGCTGAGCTTTGATCTGACACTGTTTCCTTTGGAAACAAGCGTTTCTGGGTGGGATTTGGATCCAGACTGGCCTATTCATTCTCATTAGAGTCACTTGTTGAAGATAGAAAACAAAATATCATATTTCGAGAAATTCAGTCGTCAAAAACCTTCAGATGATTTACACAGCGGAAGAGAGCACTTTCATTAGGGCTATGAATAAACAGGAAGAGAGACGAGCAGAGTAGATGAATAAAGTGTAAAAGAAGTGGATGAGTTTCTACTTGTAGAAGGTAATTTATTGAATAAAGAAACACAGTGAGAGTGTGGAGTGTGGTTGGATCCACACCTGCGCCAGTAAATGCCAGCCTGTTCCCGAGGCAGCCAGCATACCCACAGAAATTTTCATGAGAAGCGTGTGGTTTTGTCAGTGAATGTCCTGAAGCGAAAGGTTATAGTGCCAGATTAAGCCAGTCATTCGTATCCCATGATGCATCATCCTTGCCCCCGTGCTGATCCGTATAATTGACAGATTTTCGCAGGTTTGCTCTGCCACAAACAAAGACAAAGATCAACACCGGATGTGCATATTACTGATTAAATTAAAACAAACTGATTAAAGACAATGTGACAAGCTATTTACAGCCTATTTTTGTGTAGTGTGAAATATGAATACTGGCCCGTTGTTTCGGAACCTGGCGCGTTTCCCCCCTTAGCTCGGCAATAAGCCCGCAACAACAATAAGCCCGCGAAGCTGTTGTCGTTCCATCCTACAGATGACAGCTGTGACAGCTAAGTGGAATCCCGGAAAATAAACCGTGAAACTTTGACCAATGAGAGAACAGTTTACTCGCGCGTGACTTGTATTAACAAATTTGGTCCGTTTAGAAACATTGCCGTGTGAACCAAGAATAAAAAGCAACATTGTAATAATTTTAATCCCTGTTT